AAATCTGAAAGCTCTCTCTAACTACAATAAAAATATAAACAATAAACTATCAAACTATCAACACTAAACATTTTACACATTTTAGAAGATTATGAGCAGGTACTATAAGAAAACACTTTCTGAACAGACATGAGCGCCATGCAGCGCATCCACAGGACATCTCGCGATAACAAACCAGATGAGATTTTGTTGAAAAGCTTGACTGTGATTGGCTGATCAGCAGGTAAACACGGAAACTGGTGCTTGATGGTTTCTGTCCGAACAAAGACAAACCGAGCATTCTTTTTTATTTGCTTAGGTTTCCAATGAGAGTAAAGGGGATTAATACAGACAAAGACTGGTGGCAGTGTTTGTACGTAAGTGTAAATGTATGGTTTTTTGTAAGCTCAGCCTGGTTACTGCACACCGTTAACTTGTTAGCCGCACCGTTATTACACTGTAGTAACAATCCTGCGAGTTCTCACACGTGTCGTGTGAAATAACGAGAAGATAAATACAACATAAAACTTCAGTGATATAACTATCTCAGTTGATCATATCTGTTTCTGCTCTTTATTCCAACAACAAATCGCTAATTGAGGTTTATTACAAACATTTGAAACAACTTTAATTTTAAAGAAGAAAACATTAAATATAAACCCTTTGTTAGCCAATAGTTTAAATGTTTATAAATTTAGTCCCATCAGAATCACACAGTGACCTTCTTACATGACCAATTTTAAAATTTATTTGGTCATCTTTACATTTATGTTAATTTTATATCATTAATGATATGAAACTCATATGCAAATGCTAAATAAATGAACATATTTTTACTTGTGACTCGTTTTTGCAGGGATGTCTGTCAGCGTCCACCCTAGAGGTGAATCTAGTGGCGGCATGTCTGCCCACCTCCAGTGTTCCCACTGTGGCCATTTGTCAAGAAGCCACGCTCAGCATCTGACCCATTTAGCGGCGTCTCACCCCACCTGCCTGGACGGTGTGGCTATGGGTCGACTTGGCACCGTCCTGATGTACCAGAGCAGTGGGCGGCTGTACCACTGCTCCATCTGCTTCTACACCAGCCGAGACTTCAGCAAACTCTACAAGCACATCGTCACCAAACACTGCATGGACAAGAAAGAGGAGGCAGGAGCAGAGGGCAGGGAGGAGGGAAGTGAGAAAGGTGATGAGGAGGAGGAAGTGAAGAATACTCCTGATAAAAGCAATGAGGAGGCAGTCATTGAGGAGGTGAAGGATGCTCCTGATAAAAGCAGTGATTGTGAGGAGGCAGTCATTGAGGAGGTGAAGGATGCTCCTGATAAAAAAAGCAGTGATGCTGAGGCAGACGACGAGAGTCTAAATGATGCTCCTAAACGAAAGAGAAGCAGGGATGAAGAAGAGGAGGAGGTGAAGCAAAGTGAGGAGACCGAGTCAGTCAAACCCAAAGTCGATGAAAAACAAAATGTCCTGACGTTTGACGGCGTTACTTATTGCTGCCTGATCTGTGGCTGGAGGACCAAACAGAAAGCAGTTTCTGTCAGCCACTTGGTGCGCAAACATGACCTCCACAAAATGTACGCTGCACAAGTCATCAGACGGGATGTCACCTCCATGAGTCAGGGTCCAGGAGGCAGGGTGGAGGAGGAGGGGCCCGGCCTGAGCAAGGAGTTGCTGAAGGAGGAGATAGAAGCAACAGCTAAGGTGGTGAGCTACGTCAGCAGCCGCTTTGTTTGCCTCATCTGTGGCTGGAAAACCAAGATTAAAGGTATGGCAGGATATCCCTCTAAGTGGATTTTTGTTGTAAATATTTGATTTCAACTTCTCATCTGTCCTCATACAGTCACTCATTTAACCTAAAACAAACGTTTATCACAGTCAGGAGGGTAAAGTTGTGTGTTGTTGCAGGTTTCGCCCTCAGTCATGTGGTGCGCCGCCATGACGTAAAGTGCCCGTACGTCTGTAAGGAGTGCAATCGTAGATTCTTCCTCCCCAGCCAGCTGCAGCACCACATCAGGGCCACTCACCGACCCGGATGCTACGCCTGCCCCTTCTGCTGGTTCCGCTCCAAGTACCTGGGAGGCTTCACGAGGCACTGCAGGCGCTGCAGCGCCCGGGAGGAGGAGGGAGGCGAGGGCGCGGGAGGAGGAGAAGAGGAGGACGACAACGAGGATGAGGAGGAGTCTGAGGAGAAGACGGCCTGGAAACCAGAGAACTCTGAGAGGTCCATCAAAGAGGAGCAGGAGGATGAGATTGATGACTAGAAGGACTTTAGGCTTAGAGCAGGGGTGGGCAATCCTGGTCCTCGAGGGGCACAGCCCTGCTTGTTTTTTTTTGTTTGTTTTTTTTTTACAAAGTGCAAGTTTCAGGACGGATTCTAGTATTAAACCCACTGAATTTTTCTTTTTATTAAACCCAAACTTGGAAAACAAACCTGCTGATAACAGAGCATCCAGCATCCACCACAGAAAGTCTTTATATTGAGTGAAATCACAAATCAAGCTGGAAACACCTTAAAGTTTTTCTGAGCCATCACACAGGCTGCTCATATGGATCAGGATAGAAATAAATAAATCAATATTCAATGCATTGGGGGTTCTGCTGTTTTTGTTTGCTGGAACCTGTGAGACAAAATAAATCTAACTATCAGAAACTAACATCACAGAAACTTTGTTTCTTCAGATTTAAATCTGTGATGTTCCAGCTTTATCCAGCAGGAGGCAGATCACTGAGGAACATCTCTGCTTTTACTTCAACACCATCAAATCTGACAGTAAAGAATCAAACGCAGAACATCTGAAGCATTTTAGGTTCCAAAGTGTGAGAATTTGAATCTTCATGAATTTCTTTGTGGTTTAACACTCTTGAGTTATATTAAATGCCATTCCTGTCTGATTATTAATTATCTTGACAGATCAGAGTTTATCACTATAAATATAAGATGAAAATAGATGCAGCTCTAATGGCTTCTTTAAGCAAATATTCAAGTTGTTCTTAGCTTATTTAATGCTAAAAGTCTGAGGATAAGAAGTTTATAAACAACTCCATCACACATATCAGCATCAGTTAGATGTGAATAATTCAATTGTTCATTTCTGAATAATTTTCTGGACTTTTGCACCTAAACTAAAACCTACATTTTACTCTGCTGCAGATGTTAAAAAAAAAACCTAGTATTTCACTACTGCAGCAAAACTATCTTGTTGTTTTTAAGTTTTAGTTAAGTTTTAAAGTCCAGAGAATTCAGTTTCTATCTCTAAGCTGGAAGTAAACACAGCCCCCTCCTGGTCTGTCCTACCTGAAATTTATCCAACAATCTGTGACTAAAGTAACAATAAACAGAACATTTCTCAAAAACGCTGCACCCAGCCCTGCTTTAGTTTGGCAACTGAAAGTTCAAGAGTTTAAGTCCATGTATGGCTCTTTGCTGCTGCTGTCCCATAATCCTCTGACTGACAGTCCATCAGCAGGTCAGAGGGTGAATCGAGGACAAGAGGACCTCTCCAAAGGAACCATGTTGATTCTCCTCAGGCCGCCGAAGTCGTCTCTGTCATCTTCATCGTCTTTGTGACAGAAATCGTCGTCGTCGACGTGAGTCGTGTCGCTGGTTGAAGCTTTCTGCTGAGAGAAACAAAACGAGGAGAAGAAGAATGGAGGATGATAATAAACTTCCTGAAAATATGGAAAAATCTAAACAGCACCAGTCAGTTTGAGTAGAACTAGCAGCTAACGGCATAGTTAGGGATGGGTGCCTTTGACATGTGAATTGATTTGGTACCAATATTCGGTACCTGGGAATCAGTACCGGTACTTAACGGTACCAATTTTTGTGTGTTGTTTTTTAATATAAACTCTTTTTTAAAATTTTATTTAACATATTTCTCAACATATAAAATTTAACAAATATCAAGACAACATCCAACTCTTAGTATTGTAACATCAGTTGTGTAACTTATTTCTTCAAAGTGAAAACTCTTGAAAACAACATGACTGTTTTGTCTTATTGCACAAATTAAAATCCAGCTCCACATTGATGTCATTTCCCCGCTAGAAAATGTGTGATGGAGGTCCATGGAAGGCAAATAAGTTTAAATCAAATAAGCAAAAGATGATGCAGTTAAAATTAATAAAAGGTATTTAAGCTACGTTTTGAACATCCAAAACACGTCCAACACTTGTTGGCTGCTTGTGCTCTTTAGGTCAGTCGTGTTCGGACTGTCGGGAAGCTCCTCTGTTGTTTTCCTCTGCCGGTCTCTGTTTAATGGTGGATGAAATAGAGAAAGTGGCAGTACTTTATTTACTTTGAACAAGCGAACGTTGTGCTCACAAGATAATTAATTCAACAGATAATTCAGAGGCGGTCTGTTCAGTGAGTTTTACTCCAGGAGCTGCAAGGCTTTCAGCTACGTTCAGACCAAGCTCTGCTTCTCCATGTTTACTGAAGCAGCAGCTGCTGACGTCATTAGGCTCTTGCGCGATGCTGCGTTCAGGACAAGCATGGAAAACTCACCACTCTTAAGCCAATACGGTCGCAATGATGTGTTTAGGTACCGAAACATGGTAACGTTTGATGTTACGTGAATAGGTTCTCAGTAGTACCGACAGAATTCGGTCTTTACATTAAAATGTATTGAATTCAGTACCCATCCCTGGTCATAGCTGAGCTGGACTAACTCTAAGCTGACAGAGTAAATGTAGATTTTAACACATAATTTAACTTTTTTACTTTGTAACTAGGAAAATCAGAATCCCTAAAACATGACCTGCTCATCTCACTCCAACAGTGAGAAGTTGAACCATGTTTTGAAGCCAAAAACAAGGAAGCAGAAATGGTTTAGACCTCCACTTAAAAAAAAATCTCACGATCAGGAAGCACACGACAGCAGCTTAGGTTTGATGCTGGCATTTTACCGTTGGAGTCTGTGGCTCTCTGTACGGAGGACACACCATGTGGAAGCGAGGAATGGCCACCTGGAAAACTTCTTCCTTGTTGGCTGAAAAGCGAAACAAACATGAGAACAGAAATGTGTGTGGCAGCTGCATGACAGGAGCAGAGCAGCACCTAGTCTGTGGAACGTGTAGTGACCCTCCATGTACTCTGACGGGGTGGAGAAGGTGGTGCAGCTGGCGTACTCGTGCACCTTCCCGGGGGTCATCACCGGAAACTCTCCTGCACACAAAACACACAGAATCAGCAACTCCAGCAACACCGGTTTCCCTTCTTATCCGTCAGCTGTACACCAGCAACATACCGACCACGCCTGGACCGTGAACCTCCTCCACGTTGCCGTCAGATGTGGTGATTTTCCAGTAGCGGCTGTCGAGTTGACAGGCAGCTTCAGGCGAGGCGCTGCGAGACATTTCTATCCTGCAAACACAAAGTTTTTATTCTGCCTCGATTAACTCAGCAGAGATGGAGCTGAAGTCTCTCAGGCACGGTCGAACCTGATCCGGTAGGTGAAGAAGAAGTGAGGCGGGTGGACAGAGGAAAGCTCTGGCAGGAAGGAGGTAGAAACAGAAACAGTGATGTCTCCGGTGGTTACCGTACAGCCTCTCTCGTGCACGTACCTGCAGAGACAACGTGGTTTGATTTCATTTTGACTTGTTTTGCTGCCCCCCCCCCCCCCCCACACACACACACGCATCTTCAGTGTGTGTGCTACCTGAAGATTTGGTCTTTGATGATGGGATATTCTCCTGTTACCACGTTGTTCACATAGGTGGAGAACCAGTCTAAGAAACTGGAGCCTGAAAACACACAGCTGTTTTTAATGGAAAAAACTTTTTCTATAGTTTTCACCAAATAAACACAGCTATGTTTGAAACATTTAAAATGACATAAGAATGATGGAAAACCAAACCAAACATCACATGTCAACAAACCTTAGGAAAAAAAGTGGCTGATTTCATGGTTGTTTGTGACGTCCGTCATATTTGAACCCTTTTACGATTCTTTTAGTCAAAATCACAGGAATTTTAGGGCTGCAACCACGAATCGATAAAAATCGATTAATAAAAGCGTTGGCAACGAATTTCATTATCGATTCGTTGTGTCGCGCGATTTATGCGTCCCTCGCCGTGTCGCAGAGCCGTTTACATCACCTGCAGAGCGTTGTCAATGCTGGCTGATCTCAATAAAGTTTAGGAAGAAAACACCTCTACCTGTAAAGATCCTCCCTGTCTGAGACCGTCAGGTGAAAAGTAGAGACTTTGAACTTTAAAACAGTTTTTAAATTGTGTTGTTAGGCCAAGTAGATCCGAAGATATGATAAAAAAAGAACATAACACAGTTAATGTTTTTAAAAGATGGTCTGATTTGATGCGAGCTGCGTCGCGAGGAGGAAACGCTTGCAGAGGGGGGTGGGGGGGTGGGCACCTAAATCCACCGTTTGTTTCCTCCTCTCGGGCCAAAAGTATAAAAACCCTCCATTTTTTCTGACTGAGGCTCAAAGTTATTTGTTGAGCAGCAAAAAGGTTCAGGACGAAAAAAAAGGCGATATAAGGGGAGGAGGGGGGGCTGCTTCAGAACTGGTTACTGGGTCAGAACACCGTTTCAGTCAGACAGAACCAACAAGT